AACTTTCCCGCCGTCAATGCGGAGCGCGTCTCTTGACACTCTCTCATCTTTGCTCTTCCTGAGTTCACAGTGTAACTTACGTCTCAACAACCTTTTACCTTTTATGTACCAAACAGCCCTCTTAGGGTTCGCTGCAGGTGCCTGATTATGCCCCGCGTTGTCTTCAGGGGTCTAAGCTGGTAAAACCGCGTATTATCTCTCCCCAGGGCATCATGTTACAGTGCAGCCCCAATCTCAACTTCCCGTTTACCTGTGGCGACAGCTGCATTGCGACTCCCATTTCCGGAAATGCAGTATAGCACCCCGTAACAACTCGTGCCACATGCCTCGCTTTTCACAGATTAGCTTCATTCTTCTGTCGTCTGCCAATGCGACAAATTCCTTTTCAACATCTTTGAGATTTCTCGGAGAAAGAGTGGCAAGTAATAGTGGAAAGCATTATCGAGACACAAGTACGCAACGTTCCTTATCAGCCCTTATCAGCACTTAGTACCCGCCGTCGCCGTCCCTCACTCCTCCTCTATATCATTTGTTGAAATCAAAGCCTAGCTGATGCTGTGTCCCGCGTTATGAGTATGGTGACCTTCATATTCTGACTCCCCTTATCAAATCTTATCAGCTTCTAGCAGTTCTTGTCACCCTCAAGTTTTAGTTTTAAGTTTCCTGTGCCATAGCCCATGTCATTCCTTGCAACAAAGGTCCCAATGTTATTGTGACCTGTGCTATGGAGTCGGTCACCCCCCCCCCTTCTGACGCCTCTTAACAGATCTTATCAGTTGCTATCACTCCCCAATGATCTGCCTGTCGCAGCTCCTATATCAGTGCTTGGAAGCAGAGGTTGCAATAAGGAAAATCCAAATAACATCGTTTGCGGTCTGTGTGTTTAACTTTTATTTTTTAACTCATGCTCAAATCTAAAAGTGAGAAGCAGATAGCGGTGTTTGGAGATCAGTTCCAGTCGGATCCCTACATGCGCGCTCACGCCTGCATAAGTGTGAATGTTCCAAGAGATAAAGTCGAAAAAAGATCAACACACGACACAATATTTCTATAATACCGTATAAGCTCAACAGACATTGTGCTTCATGGAAGTTACTTTAGAAATGCTTCGAAATTCGCGAAAGCCCGCGGTATAGAAGCTCATCACACAGAGTTTTTGTAGGCATGTTGGAGGATACCAGACAGAAGGAGCGAGGGAGCAAGAGAGGAGGTTACGATGAAATGATGCTTCGCTTCCAGCGGGGGAACCTAAACTCAGGAACAAGCGCGATGCAAGAACTTCGCAAAGTTGTGCAGCATTTCGTATACTGTAAGCTGTCAAAGAATTTTACAGGGCTAAGGTATACCGCCACAGTCTTTCCTCATTTTCCAGATGGAACCCGGTTTTTGCGACTGAAAACCATTCAGTTGCAAATCTATTACTCACTGTAGACAACCGTTAGTTTCTGACTATTCGGAAAGTCTTACGCGTTGTGAAAAAGTGAACTTCAGAAAGCCTAGAAACGGCAGTCGAGCTCTGGCCGCATACGGGGTGCATAAGATGGGACCAAAGAACCTTGGGATTCCGGCCAACACACATGTACATAATTTACGTTGTCTGAAACAACAGTCTGGAGGTAACTACACTTTTGATCCGGGGCTCGATAATTATAATAATACCAGTTTGGCTGACGCGCACTACTGCGCGAATGGTTAAACCTATGCTACTGATCAATGGCGGAATTTTTACGGTGGCCCCTAACACTTCGCCTTATTGCAATGCTTCAAAACACGGCCCATTTCATCATAATTCTCCTCTTTAATGAACATTTGCCAACCTATGGTGTTTATCACAACACTCACCATTCGTTGGAAATGGGACAGCTTAGCGGTTGAAAGAGTTTCAATGGTCACAGTATCGGAATCATAGTGAAATGTTTTTACATCCTAAAACTTCCAGTGAGCAGCTTTCGCATATCCGTCTGTTGATGACTCTTATCATTCCTCACTGGCAAACAACTTTAGGTTTCTACTTCTGGGTGGTACTCGAGAGTTTAGCGGTCGGATCATTTCCGACTACATCGCTAAGGGATAGAAACATCTCGGGTCACTAAGGTTTGGCTCATTAATTCTTGGGTCACGGTGGTCAAGTTCAGTCGCAGGCATAGTAAAGATGCAGCTCCCCGTTGTTGCTCCGACTCTTGCATTGAATTTTGAGGCCTTCCTGAAGTGGGCCCCCTATGGTACTTTATCGGCTGTTATCACGTCCTGCCACCCACCAATAATGTTCCCATCCTGCCCCATATATTACTTCTAGAAAACGTCTACCGTCGCTGTGACGCGCGTTATGAAGTTAGTGAACTTCCCTTTCTAAGGCTCCTTATGGTATCTTATCGGCTGTTATCACTTCCTGCCACCCCAAAAATGTCCCCATCCTGCCCTCTATCTTACTTCTTGGAACCAACGTTCTACCGCTGCTGTGACGCGCGTTGTGAATTCGGTGACCCTTACCTTCTAAGGCT